AGGCCCCCAGCCCCTGTCTGCACCCCTCACCCAGGTCATTCATTCTCTTTCTCTCTCCCACTCTCTCTCTCTCATTCATATATACATGGAGTGGCTAGATTATTATGATCTCAATGCATAATAATCTGGCCACTCAGAGTATACCCTCCTATATAATAAAAGGCTAATATGCAAATTGTCTCCTCTACCAGGAGTTTGACCAGCAGGCCGGCCAGCCAACCGCTCATGTCCCCGCTCTCTGGCCAGGCTGGCTGTACCCCACCCATGCACAAATTCATGCACCGAGCCTCTAAAATATATATATATCCTCTTTCCATCCCTCCCCTCAATGCCAGCACTGGGAAGCCCTAATCAGAATCATTTAAAGAGAACTTTGACAGCTCAAACAGCTGAAGATTATGCTCAGCTTGGAAAGAAAGAGGGCCTAGCTTCTCGGGTTCCTCATCTGTGCTTTTTCTCCTAGGGATGAGGGTTCTCTCTTTCCTACCTAGATGGGTGCCCCCCCCCCCCCGCCCTGAGCTGGAGGTGCTGGTCAGGTTACCCCCGTGTGGCCTTCTCCTTCCCTCGGCCCCTGCCACTGAGAAGAGCACTTCCTGAGGCCCAGAGAGCAGGGCTGGCTGCAACAGGTGATGTTGCTGTTCTTTCTGGGCCTCGGCTTACTGGAAAGGGCTGGGCCCTGGCCTGCCAGCCAGCCTGGCTGAGTGAGTTCCTTCTCCTGGCACTGCAGAGACATGGCCCTCACAGAGCAGGAGCCAGAAGGAGGCGGCCCTCCGGGGATTGGCCAGTTTGCGATTCTCCCAGATGACTTTCCCAGTCTGAGGCTTAGCCCAGAGATCAGGCCCAGGCCCCACAACGAAGGTGTCTCCTGCATGTCCAGTGTGTGTGGCTCCTCTCTCAGGTTCCCTTACAACAGTTTCCCATTCAAAGGGATGGGCATAGTACCCCTCCCCATCCTGCCCTGTCTGAGGATGGTATCTCAGCATAAAGGCAGTCCAGGTGGGTAGACTTGTGTGGGCTTGGCTGCCAGGCCAGGGTGCAGGGTTGTGCTAAGGGGGTTTCCCAGCAAACTCAGCCCCTACCATCCTGCTCTACAGACCCTTCCCCGCCCTTCCCCCCCCCCCCCCAAAAAAAAAGAGCATGTTCCCATCCCACCTAGAAACCAGGGTAACTTGGCAGTCAGTTGAGAACAGCCACCTCCATCTGGGCACAGAGTTGGCCACTCATCAGCTCAAAGCCAACTCCTTTAGCAAAACCTCGCTGAATTTCTTTCCCAAGAATGGAGGCTGGCGGGATAAGAGGAGAGCTAGCAGGGACCAGCTGGGAATTTGGACTCATCTTCCTGGGACATGAAAAGTGTAAGAGGTGCCTCAGGCTGGTCCAAGGGCATCCACAAGAGCTGGCTACCTGGCCTCCCACATCCTGTGGCTTTAGTCCTTCATTCAGCCAAGCTCATAGCTTTGGTGGGCGCCTGCTGTGTGCCATGTCTCATCCAATCCTCATACTAGCCTGCAAGGTAGATGGTATCTTCCCATCTTACAGATGGAAACACCAAGGCTCAGAAAGGTTAAGTTGCTTTTCAGAGGCCACAGAGCATGGAAGTGGCAAGGATGGATTCCTGCTCAGGTCTTTGGCTCCAAAACTGTCCCTCGGGCTCCTCATCTGCCAGGCTGCTTCCTGCAAGCTCAGCTCTGCCCTGGAGACAAAGTAGACGCAGATGGGACTTATAGTCTCAACAGGACTAATTCTCAGAGCGCACTAGCAGCTGTGAGTCGTGGGGTTGATTGACACTCTGGACACTCGAGGTTTGAAGGTCAGTTCGGAAGGGCTTCCTGGAGGAGGTTAGGACAGGAGAGAGGAGGCTGCAGAACTGTGTGAGCAGGAGGACAGGAGCCAGGCTGAGGATGGCTCTGAGACACGTTGGGCAAGGGAGGGAAATTCCAGGGACGTGTCCCCTTGGGCCGCACTTCCCAACACATATTGCTATCACGTATTGTATCAGCGGAGGCAAGAGCAAGCCATGTTGCAAAAAGATAGTGCCTTCCATTCTTCTGGAGCCCCTGAAGGCAGCCCCACACTCCATAGGTTAGAATGAATGCATGGGTGCATGGGTGCACCCACACACATACATGCGCACCCACAGACATACACGTGCGCACACACACAGTTAGCTCACCAAGTCCTACTGAGGTCTCCTGATATGGTCCTCAGGCACAGACACCGCCTGGCCACCCATGGGTGCAGGCTCTCAGTCTAGGGGAATACCAAACCACCACCACCATGCTGGTGGTACTGCAAGGTTTTTGAGCTTCTCCTCTGTGCGAGGTCCCACGCTAAGCTGCTTGTATCCTTTATTCACATCAACAACCTCTGGAAGCAGGCTTCGCGAGTTACTCTCACATCAGGAAGGGGACACTGAGGCTCAGAGAGGTGTAGTAATTTGTCCATGATCACATGATTAGGAAGTAGCAAGCCAAGACCCGAATTTGAGTTGTTCTCCCCCACAAGGTCCCTAAGTATTACCTTCCACCCCAGAGGACCCTCACCCAGACACACAGACACTCAGATACACAAAGCACATCCCCAGTGACAGGGACACACCCGCTCACAGACAGGCACCAATGCCCAGGGACACACGTTCTCCAGGAGCCACCTCCGCCCTCGTGCACACAGCAGACGTGTACCTCGTCCATTTCCGTTAAGAATCTGGAACCTGGGGCCAGACTTCCTGGGTTTGACGTCCAGCTCTGCCTCTTCCTAATTGGCATCTATCTCTGCCTCAGTTTCCTCATCTGTGAAGTGGGGATGCTGATGACAGTAACACTTCTTTCACAAGATTCTTGAAGGCTAACTACAGTAACGTATGTAAAATTAGTGCCTGGCACCTAGTGCTCTTCTCAGAATCTGACCATGATCGTCATGGGCAGACACACCTTTGTTCCAGATGTACGTAGATATGAACATGGACATCACCTACCTCCCTGTCCTCAAAAATACATAGCCTTGTCCACACCTCCCCCTGCACACTCTCAGCCTCCGCAGGAAAGAGGACTCCACGTGCACTGGAGGTGAGCCTGGGAGCCCCACGGGGCTGGCTGGCACCTGAGTTCTCTTGGCCAGCTGGGCCACGCCCAGGAGTTCAGGCTCTAATTGCTCCTTGCTGGAGCCGCAGTGACTCTGGTCAGGAGCCCTGGTTGCTGCAATTGACGTCTGAGCTGCTGGCATCTGGGACAGGCCTGTCAGCAGCCGTGGGTGGGCGCGGCCCCAGGGAACCTCCCCCAGAAGCCTGGCTGTATGACTCATGCCAGGGTTCCCAGGAGGTCTGCATGGAGCTGGTGGACACCTCTGCCCATGTTCACGCATGCCCACCTGGGTGGTATTCGAACCTATTCATCTTTACTTAGTGAAGGTGCCCACAGCCAAGCCAGCAGTGAGTTCTCTGCAGGGTCTGATGCAGGACTGACCTGAGTCTTAAAGACACACAGCCCAGCTCTGCTCTGGATTACTTTGGAGTGTAAGGAGCCCAAGCCAGTGTTCTCAGGCAAGGTGGGCAGGGACCAGCAGGCCTTGAGGATGATGAGGGTCTCAGCCCCAAGTCTTGGGGGTACAGCAGGAGAATAGGATCCTAAGTTGCTGCCTTGGGGTGGGGAGATGCTCCCAGTCGCTGATAATGTGGCCCAGACTCCCCAGAAGCATCTGGTGCAGCAAAATGTTGAGGTCGAAAGGTCTCAGATTGCCCTGGCACATCCATTGGGCACCCAGGCAGTGTGAGGTGCAGAGCATCATGCCATCCTGCCCATTAGGCACCTCAGCCACACATTTGGCCCCTCAGCAAGTCTCTGCCCAGCTCCCCCTGTGTGCCAGGCCTGTGCAGCCAAGGTGGGAGACCTGCCCTGCCCCTGGGTTTCCCTGTGCCAACAAGTCCAAATCCATCTCTCTATCCCAGATTCCTGGCTCCTGGGGAAGGGAGGGAACAACATGTACATGGAAGGGCTCCCAAAGGGGAGGAGAGATGATGCCACCAGCAGGAAAAAGACTCAACTCCTGGGATTCTGAGGTCCTTGGAGCCAGGGGCCAGTTCCCAAGGTGGCCCGAGTGAGTGGGAATTGGGCAGGGACTGCTCACCTGAAGTGCCTCGGTGAGCTCCATCCTCATCTAGGGAGGTCTCTGCTTGACTCACCATGATGGCCTTTGATCGTGAATCTCGGTGATTGCTGGGAATGGTGCAGATTTGGAATTGGTCCTGTGTCGGAAGGAAGTGGGGCCAGATTGCTTTGGAGGCAGAGGAGGCTCCGGGTGGGATGGGGGCAAAGGCATCCTGTGAGGAGTACCTTCTGGGAAGGGAGGAAGGCATTCAACAGGCTTCTAAGACCTGGGTGCTCAGAGAACTCTGCTCAGTCAGCGTTGGTTTGAATGATGAATGAATCAGTGCGCGAAGAAAGAAAATGAATGAGCTTTTATCACTTGGCCATGACCGTCAAGGGTCACTCCAGGCTGCAGTGCCCACTTACTGTGACTGACATGTCAACACACTTACGGCCGCTGTAAAGGAGCACAGATGTGGAAGGGCCACTGACCTGCGGTGGGGAAAGGGGAATGGTGACCGCTAGAAGGCATCTGTGAGGCGTGTGCCCCTGGATACCTTAGAAGCGGAGAAAGCATCCGAACTCCGGCCCACACCAGTGGTCCTACCTCACAGACCCTGAAAGGTCTCTGGGTTTGGCCTTTCCTGCCAGGTGACTTCCACACATTGGACATTGCATTGTCTCAATATTTGGATTTTTTTCCATCAAACACTTGCGGAAGTGTGCATCGCAGTCCATCGGGCCCTCTTCTCGGGGAGTGTGCTGGTCAGGCTCCTCCAGGCTGGACGTGGTGCTCCTCCAGGCATTTGCCAGGCACCTGGGTTGACTGGCTCTGTGCCTTCTCCTCCTCGCCCAGGCCCTACCGCCTCTGCCATCTCTCTGGGTCCTCATGGCACTGTTCTCTCGTTCCCTCTGCAGGCTGGTGGTTCGTGAGCACCTCTGAGGAGCAGGGCTGGGTCCCTGCCACCTACCTGGAGGCCCAGAATGGTACTCGGGATGACTCAGACATCAACACCTCCAAGAGCGGGGAAGGTAAGACCTGCAGGTTGTGGGGGTGGGAAGGAGGCAGGTTCTGGGAGCTGGGATCCCCAGGGATTGGTGCCCACCCCAATCCTGGCCCCAGGAATGAGCCCAACTCCTGGAGGCAGCTTTCCCACTCTTCTCCCTAAACCCATCAGAACCCCTGCAGAGAGCTGACCATGTTTCAGCCCCTCCTCTCTCGCTCCGACTCACAAGCTCACCTCCCATCCAGGCCTGTCCCTGCAGCCCCCATGGGGAGCTAAAATGAGAGGGGAAATTCCCGTGAGGTGTGGATCTTGGGGTTTGGCAACTTTGGAGACTAAGAAGAGTCTTGGGCTTAGACCCCCCAAAGTTCCCTATTCCTCAAGAAGCCCCCTGTTCCCCAAGATGCCCCAGGTTCCTCTGGGTCCCACAGAGACCCTCCTTTGCCTGCCCCCACCCCACGCAACTTCTGTGCGCCGGTTGTTCTGCCTCCGCTCTGGTGTCTGTTAGTCCAGCTGAGGGTGCGGACGAAGGGCAGGCCTGTGAGCCATTTCTCAGGGTTGCAGTCACGGACAGGTGGCTGGAGGCCCTGGGCCATTAGCCTCTCTGGTCGGCTAGGTCTTTCTAGTTGCATTTCCAGGAGCCTGCCCCAGGCCAGCACTGGTCTGGACAGTCTGTCTGCAGTCTCAGGTATTCCCCAGAGCAGCTGCCAGAGCCCAGTGTGAGGCACCCCTCGCTCCCGGCGGCCTGCTTCTAATGATTTCCAAGCCTCCCGTGTCCTGGCAGCAGGAGCGCTTGCCCTAACGGTCAGTGGGGCCTGTCCAAATGGCATGTCTGAGAGCCAGGGGGATGGAGGCCTGCCACCTGGGGCTGAGGCCACCTCCAGGCCGCCTCCTCCCTCCCCCCCTTCCCATTGCCCAGGCCAACACAAGCAGTCCGCCGAGCGCCAGCTCCTTATTCATCCTTCCCATCGATGTCCGTTACTCAGCAGGCAGTTGGAGCCCCACCCTTCCTCCTGAAATGCTTTATTTCAGCCCCTTGACCAGGATGGCAGTCCCTGCCGTGCGTGTCCGCCTTGTGACGGGTTTCCAGGGACCAGGCCCCATCAGGAGGTGCCGTGTGTTCAGGCCAGGTGCTCAGTCCTCCTAGCTGCCTCCTAAGCCCTGGAGTGGGGCCTGCACCCTCTCAGAGCTTCCCTAACGGCTGTCAGAGCTCCTCCCCGGCTGGTCTCACACAGCCGTGACTTATGCTCCATCGAGCTCACTCAGTCCCCTCGCTTGTGTTCACTCCTGGCGAGTGGTGTCCTCTCCAATACAGACGCGGAAACAGGCTCAGGGAGGGTGGTTCAGAAACTCGGCAGTGGGGCCTGGACTGAACCCGCAGCTCCTGACCTTTTGCCCAGGCCTCCTGCTTACAGGAAGCAGACCAAACAGGCCACTGCCCGCCTCCCGGGCAAGCAGCTCCTTCCCTAGAAGCTCTGGTGGCACTTGGTTCAGGTGTGTCTGACCGTTTTGCTGGGACTCTGAATTGCCCGCTTCCCTTTCCCAGACCTGGGCAGCCTAGCACCCTCCTCCTGCAGGGCCCAGAGGTGGGGGCCGGTTGGCACCCTGGAGTTCTGGTCTGGTGTCTGTGCCACTGCTGTTCCATGGGAAGGCGGGGGTAACTGGAACTGGGCCGAAGCAGCCAGACGACCAGCGCAGAATGCTGCCCTGGAGAGGGGGACTGGAGCAGTGAGAGGCAGGGCAGGCAGCTTCTGTCCGGAGAAGGAACAGACAGACCCATGGCCCGTGGCCTCCACCCATGTGTGCACTTCACTCGGCACCATTTCTCAGGGATCAGCAGTGAACTTGTCCTTTTTGCTGGGCCCGGGGATGCAGATAGTCTTTGCCCTCAATGGACTCGACCCAGGGTAGGGGGACTGAAAGCAGGACATAAATGCAGGCGATAAGAGCTATAAATCCTGCGAGGAAGGGATCTGAGTCTCCCCTTCCACACACTGTGCCTGGCTCGTGGTGGCAGGGTCGCAGGCAGGAGCTGGTGAGTGGGGCTGAGGCTCTGGTGTGGTGGGTCCCCGCAGAGGGTCATCCTTGTTCTGGCGGGAGCCAAGGGCCCTCTTCGCCTCTCAAGTGCTGGGATTCTCAGCCCATCTCTGGCTCTGGGACGTGACCTTCAGCTTTGGTCGTACCCATGATGTCACTTGTCAGACCTGCCCCTGTCCAGCAGGTGTGTGCCGCTGACCTGGGAGCGTGTGACCCTTCCCTTGCTTCCTCCCTCCCCTGCCCCATTCATCTCATCTCCATCTCCATTCTCTCCATCGGTTCCTGTCGGCCGCGTGTTCCACCGCCATCTCCCACGCCAGTGTCCAAGAGACGCAAGGCCCACCTGCGGCGCCTGGATCGCCGGTGGACCCTGGGCGGGATGGTCAACAGGCAGCACAGCAGAGGTGACCGCGGGCGCTGGCTTCCACCTGCAGCTGACGCCTTTCTCTCTCGCTAACACCTCTGCTCCTCTCCGGCTCTGCCTGTGACCTCCTCACCCAGATCCACTGACCGGGCTTTTCTCTCGCCCACTGCAGCTTTTAGGGGAGGGGAAAGGGGGCGCGGGGGCTGCTGGGAATTGGGGGGGCACTGGAGGTGGCTCTGGTCTCTGTCTGTCCAAGGGGTGGGGCACAGTGTGGGAGCCGTTGGACTTGATGGGCCACATTTGTCCTGGGAACTGCAGATGAAGAGAACCGAGTGTTTCTGAATCTGTTCATGGGCCATCACACACACACACACACACACACACACACACACACGCTGCATTGCCTTCTTCCCCTGAGAAGGTGCTCCCTTAGCCAAAGCTGCTCCGCATTCCTTAGGGACAGAGTAGGAAGAAGGACCAGCCCATAACCCACCTCCTTCAGCCAGCTGCCAGGAAACTAGAAATGGAGCAAGAGCCATACCCAGGCTGGCGCCTCCAGCTTCTCCAGCACTAGCCATTGGGACCAAGAGGATTCCATGGAGGCCCCTGGTCTGCCACCCAGGCTAATCAGGAACCAAGACATTGCAGGTTCAGGGCCTTTCCAGCGTCCAGGAGCTTGGGACATAGTGGCTGAGGCCTCTGAACAAACCCTGCACTTCTCCAGAGCCCCCGGGCCGAGTGGCCAGTTCCCCCTGACTCTGGGAGAGCGTGTTGTATATGCTCCGGGCAGGGCCAGGGAGAGCTGAGAGAGTGTGTAGTAAGCACGGGCCTCTCCGGAATGGCAGGGGTGCCCTGTGGCTTGCATCCCTACCCTGAAGCTTGTTCCTGAACTAATATAAGACCATGTTCAGTATCTGTCCCCAAGCCCCAGGCAGCAGGGAGCCTGGACTCTGGGGTGGCCACTGCCTGTGGCTGGCCTAGTGTCAGGCTCAGAGCACTGACCGTGAGGAGCCTCGCTTGTCCTGAAGATGGCGTGTGGGTTGGACCCTGGAGGCTAGCACAGGGCAGGGGGCTGGGTCGTGGAAACAGCAAGAACAGGTGGGATGTAAAACAAAAGCTCCCTAGAGCTAGGAGGGAAGGGACAGCATTGCTGGGGACCAGGCTAGGATGCAACCCCAAGCCTTGGTGGCAAAGGACAGCGGGACACCAGCCTGGAAAAAGCAGCAGGGAGGAAGGCCTGGCCTTTTCCATCCCCTCCAGCATCTGCTGCAAACACTGTGACACGCTGAGCCCCAAGGACAACCCTGTCTCCACAGCCACATGGTCACGTGCAGCCCCTTAAAGCACCACGGCACAGCCCTGACGGCCACAGCCAGCCCCACAGATGCACATCCATTCACAGGTGCACATAATTCCACATATGCAACTACATGTAGACGGTCCCGTGTACACATGATGTACACAGTCACAATAACAGCCACACACACTGCTCACGGCCACGCATGTTCAGCACTGCAGCACTACCACAAGTACACATACAGCTCCTTAGAGTCTCATGTGCATGGCCCCCGTGCCACAGATACACAGGCAAGTATAGCCACAACTCCAAACATACGTCACATAGATGTAGATACAAGTACCTAGCCACACGCATACTTCTGTGGTCCCCCATACATATGCAAATGCAAGTCCACAGCCTCTCTCTCCAAATAAGAGATCTGAAGAGCATTATTTCCCAGTCTGAGCCCTAAGTGAAATCAGGCAGCCAAGAAAAACTTGCAAGAAGTTGGCTAGGAGACGCTTGGTTGCAGAGAGCCGCGCTGATGGGGGAGGGGAAGCAGGCAGTAGGTCAGCGAGGACCAGACAAGAGAAAAGCAGTGCCTCCCCAGGGCCTCCATTCCCTGTTCCCTCAGCCAACCAGGCCTTTGGAATCAAAGGCCCCTTGCAGTGGGGCTGGGTAAATTGTGGGGGCCCACAGGGAAGCCGGGGAGACTGCTGACGGAGGGGAAAGTGTTTGGAAAGAGGAGGCGTCTGTGGTTTGGAAACTGCAGGGCTCTCCAGCCCCTGCCTCCAAAACCAAAATAGGCCTGTCCACCTCCCCGCAGCCACCCACCCACTCACCCAGTGGGCGGCCCGGCCAGCCCTTCCTGGGCGGGGTGGCCACCATCTTTGGGCGGCACATCAGAGTGGCCACAGCCCTGGTGTTTCTCAGAAGCTCTGAGTGCACCCCGGAGCTCATAGTCCCCATTCCCTCAACTCCAAAGGGGCACCTCTCCTGGGGACCCCAACCAACCTGAGTCACTCAGCCACCCCCCGAGGCCATGTCCATCTGCCTGGGCGTGCTCCCGCCTGGTCCCTGGGTGGGAGGTGTGGCCCTGCTTCCGCAGAGGGGCTGGTGGGAGCAGGGGGCCTGAGCTCCACGTAGCACATGCTCACACGGAGGAAATGCCCGCCTCCGCCGTCTGAGCCAACCATGGCAGAAAACCAAGCCCCCAGACGGACCAGTTGGAAGGGTTGCCCTGCCTGGAACCAGGACCCTGAGTTTTCATCACCTGGAACCGACACAGCCACCGGGCGGGACAGGCCTCGGAGCCAGCCAGATCCATCGCTAGGAGCCCATAAACTCCCACACACCTGTGTTCTCGGCAGCCTCAGGGCCACCAGGAGAAGGGCCTTCTGCAGGAACAGCTCAGCTCTCCCGGGGAAGGCCGACATCCTCGGTGCTGCCCACCTCAGGAGGGTCAGGGAGATGCGGGCGGTTCCATGGCCCCTGGGCTCTGTCCTCTGCACGCCCCCCGGGGCTGCGGAGGCGGTGCCTGGGCCTGGAAGCCCCAGAGCCCGAGCCCACATGACAGGGTTGAGGCCGTGTTCTCTGCCCTGCGGCCGGGCAGGGCTCCTCTGATCTTCCCGAGCGAAGGACTGTAATTTTTCTCTGCAAAAGCAGCTTTGCCTAGGAACACTTTAATGATGGCTTCCTGCTGGAACCACAGGCTTTTAAAAATAGCCCAGCTGAGCAAAGGCAAAATGTGGAGCCCAGGCCTCGCCTCCCCCCTAACCTCAGAACGCTAGATTCCCGGGGCCTGGCGCTGCCCCTCTGGCCACCGCCGGGGCCAGGCCACACCGTGCCCCACTGGAAAATGGAGCGGGACCAGGCGCAGGCAGGCGAGTGGAGGGTTGGCCTGGGGAACACTGAACTTCCCCGAGGCCGAGTGAGAATCTGGCCGAAGGAGGTTCTCAGGCGGTCTTGGCAGCTCGCGGCACGGCTGCGTTGGAATCTGAAAGCTTCCTGGAGCGGGTCGGTGCTGAGAAAGGCTCACAGCGGAGAAGAGACGCCCGTGGGTCGTCACCCACCTTCTCTGCCTTTCAGATTCAGCCCTCGGCCCATCAGCTCTGTCCTCACAGCCTGGCAGGGCAGCTGCCTCCATCCCAAAGGGAGCTGGTATCTCAACCCAGGACAGGGCTGCAGACAGGACCCCGATAATCCGGGGAAGAATGAACAGATGGCCTTTCTTTCACAACCCATTGGGGGCAGCTGCCACCTTCCCCCCACAGCTGCCAGAGGCTCAGCCAGGCTGCCCTCCAGGGTCCAGCTGAGGTGTCAGGGTGATTGTCACAGTTGGAAGCCAGGAGGTGGGGGCAGGCATCTCAGAAACTCAGGTCCTGTGCCAGCATCCTACTATTTTGAGCTCTCAGAAAGCCTCCCGCCAGCGCCCTGCTCAGCCCCGCCTGCCCCTTCATCCACGCCCCCACAGTCCGTTTGGAGCTTCTGCTGTGTGCAAGGCACTGTCTCGGGCCCATGGAGCACCCGCCTGGGAGAAGACAACGTAGGTTCAGGGTGACCCCTCCCAGGGCCGTGGCCAGATGGCCGGCTTTCCTCCACCTGTGCTCTGCTCCTTGTTCTCAAGGGCAGCGTGGGGACCTGTACATCTTCCTGAAGCCTGCGTGGCCCTCGGGGCGGCTCTCCATCCAGGAGGCAGGGTTTGTGGCCAGCCGGCTGTGGGCCTGGCTGTCAGGGCGTCCTGGAGGCAGGCAGAGTTGGCCCCAGTAGACGCAGTAGCATCACCTCCCTGGGAGCCTGAGCGAAGAGCCGTGTGGAGGCAGCAGGGCCCCTGCCAGGAGAGAGGCTGCAGGGACCAGAGAAGACACATGTGGCCCAGCTCCCACGCCTGCCCTCCCACACCTTCCGGGAGCTCCCACAAGGCGCCTCTTTCCCAGTGCCTGGGAGACCAGAGCAGGCAGCTCCCTGAAGACTGCTCCGTGCTGTGTGGTCAGCTCGGCATGCTGTTCTTCACACCAGCGGTCACCAATCTTTCGGACCACCGGTGGTCCACAGACCACCCATTGATGACCGCTGCTCCAGACAATGCACGGGCACTATGGCTTGCTCAGGGCTCTGAGAGGTCCTGCATGTTTGTGTTACACTCAGCATGGCCATTGCTCATTGTCCCTAGGACCCTTATCTTAACAAGACACACACAACCTGTCCCATGGAACGTGTGTCCAGGTGACCACATGAGTGGTCAGGTAAGGCTTCCCTGAGGACAGGGCTCTGGAGCATCAGAAGACCAGACAGGAAGGAGAGGGGTTGAGGTGGAGAAGGGCTAGGAGAGTAAGTCTGGGACACAGAAGCGTCACACATTCAGGGCAAGAGGAGGGGTGCCGTGGGGCCTCCAGGGGACACTCAGGCTTGGTCTCACGAGTTCTCAACACAGGCCCCATGAAGGACAGGTTCCTCCTAACCCTGCCCTCAGCCCATGGAGCTGGGAGCCGAAGGACTCAGGCCCCGGCAGCCTGGCTACTGTTACGGGGCCAGGAGGCTGGGAGAGCCTGGGTTTTGCCAGACCACCCAAGGCCCTGGCTGGCTTTGGCACACACTGGGAGCAGCGGTGAAGCCTGGTCCCTTCTCTTCCCCGGAGGAGCCAGACGCTGACCGTGTGCACCTTGGTAACCAGCTAAGCAAGGCCAGGCCAGAGGGGAGGAAGAGATGGGCAGGAGGAGCGCATCCCAATCTCAAGTAATTGTGCTTTCTTGCTTTTCCCGCCACCCACAGAGGAGAAGTATGTCACTGTGCAGCCTTACACCAGCCAGAGCAAGGACGAGATTGGCTTTGAGAAGGGTGTTACTGTGGAAGTGATCAGGAAGAACCTGGAGGGCTGGTGGTACATCAGGTAGGAGCCCCAGCAGAGGAGCGAGACGCCCTGAGCAGCAGAGCAGGTAGATACTGCAGAGTAACCGGGGACACCAGATGGCGAGCAGATACCGACAGCAGCTTTGCACCCACGGCCCTGGCTTGGCTACACGGAGCCTGCACAGCTGAGCATCCCAAACAGGGATTGCTCATCTCGCAGATCCTCTCCCAGGACACGTAAAGCAGAGCCTGAGCGGCAGCCAGCGGAGCACAGGGGCTCCGGCCCACCTTGCAGGCGGTGGTGCAATCGCTCCCCTGCAAGACCCACGCAGCTGCCAAGAGGGTCCGGCACATCTGAATTTGGTTTTCTGCATCCAGCTTTGGCTGCCCGGTGTGCTCTGCAGCTCAGGCCGCCTGGAGCGCTGGTGTCCCCAGGCCTTGCTGAGGTCCCAGCAGGCCACCCCTGCTGCCCACGGCTCAGCACTCCAGCTGTCCCCAGCTGTCCCCTCTGCAGGGCTGGCTCACGTGGTTGTGAGAGCTGAGCCCAGGCCTGGTTCCAAGGCCTCTTCCTTCTGTTCCTCCCTCTCCCAGGGCCGGATCACACTCCCAGCTGAGAAACCCATGGGGGAGTAGGAGGGGAGTTTGGAGCTTTCCTGATGCCTCTGGAAGCAGACAAAGCCCGTGGGCTTCCCCTGCCTCTGCTCCTCCAGTTCCCTCTGCCCTGGAACTTCAGGCCAGCGCCACCCTCCGGGAGCCTCCCTCTCTGGAAATGTTTTGGTTCCTTTGGGACCTACTCAGCTGTGGCGATTTTGACCAACTTCCCTCTTCTCTGCCCGTAACCAGGCTGGCAGAGATAGCCCCACATCTGCGGGCTCTGGGGACCAGCTCGCCAGCACACCACACCTGGGAACCTTAGACCCACTGTGGGCAGGATGCGTGCTCTAGGCTGTTTCCCACCGTGGGGACAGGATTGGCCAAGGTGATGCGGGCCCTCGGAGATGGTTGCTTAGACCATCCGGCCGACCGGCCGACACTGATGGCGTTGAGATTGGTCGGTGCCGATGGGTAGGATGAAGGTCAGGGGTCTCATGGGATGGAACGTTAGTGTGACCTGACAGGGCATAGCTGCCTGTCTGTCAGGAGGGCTGAGGTGTCGCTGTCGGTCTGGTGAGGTAGGTCAGGACCGTGTGCCCGGACATGTGCTGTCCAAAGCCCTGCCCCAAGACGTGCATGTGCTCTCGGCAGTGGGAGCTGGAGCCAAGCCCAAGTCCAACAACCCTGTGTCTGGCATAGGAAGCCGGCGATCTGTCTGGCAGGCTGGTTACCTGGCCCGCTTGCTGAAAGGTTATCTACAACGCTGCTGGCTTTTGTTTTCTTTTGTTGTTGTTTTGTTTTGTTTTGTTTTTACATTTTCTTAAATGACCAATAAAGCCACTTTTGTGCTGCTTTTTCTAGTCAACTCTTATCCCCACGGTCTATCCCTTTAGCCAGAGGGAGCTTCCACTGAGAAAGCCCTGCTGAAAGGGTTCCACCTTAAGAAGGCTTCCAGACACCCCCTTAAATATGCCATTTCCCAACATTCCAGGCTCTGTGTTGATCCTCACTTCCTGTCTTTCTACTCCACCCCCACCCCCCACACACCCCCTCCTTCCCTCTCCCTCCATCTCCTTTTCCAGTTTGCTTCCCTCTGGAGTCATTCCATGCTCTGGAGCTGGAAAGCAGATGTGAGCCGAGTTAGACCCAGACACACACACACACACACATACACACAGCCGCTCCTGATTCCCTCGCTGCTCTCCTCCTGGAATCTAATTTTATCCATGTAACAGTGAAGGAACACACAGGATTTGAAACGGGAGCACTCGGACCAGTGAGCTGGCCTGACCATCACTCCCGTGACACCCTGCTCCCCACTTCTCCAGTGTTCTCATAGCAAAGCACCTGCAGCAGCCGGGAGCTCCCGCTTCTGAGCCAGACGCTGCCACCAGCTAGCTGTGTGACCCTCTGCTCCTTGCTTTGCTTTCCTGAGCCTTGTTTGTTGCTTCTATCCATCCCTGGAATTCTGTGCTTCTGTCTGCTAGCTCCATGGTTTTCATCATTTGTTCACTGATGTCTGCCTTCCAGGCCCCAAGCAGGGAGCCAGATGGGCGAGCGTGGGTCAGCCTGACTGCTTGTACCGTGGGGAAAAGCCACCCCTACCTGAGCTTTCCAGCAAAGCTCAAGGCATGCGGATAGAAACTTCTTTCACATTCCTTTTTCTCCCACCCAATGAGTGCCCAAGGGCAAGGTCAGAGGGAGAGGCAGGGGAGAGGGGCTTGTCAGACATCTGGCCTGGAGGAGCCGTTCCCCAGAGCCAGATGTGTCCCAGGAAGCAGACAGGGGCAGCACAGCACAGATGGGGGCATGGACACTGCTGGACGAGGAAATGAGCTCCCGGTGGGTTTGGGTAGAAGTCAACCCTACGGAGGGGGAAACGGAGGGGAAAGCTTGTTTTCAGGAGTCATTGGATCACCTAACATTAAGTCATTGGATCACCTAACATGTCGTTTGCCTTTCCTCTTGTTTATGGGATTTGGGGTTTTGTTTTCATTTTGTTTGTTTTTTCACCATACCAGAGGTTTTACTTTTATCCAGTCATGTGCTTTATTCTCAACCTCTCCAGATTATGCAAGTATTCGCAACTTGCATTTATATTTTGCTATGCAGTGTGAGGCCAGGGTCTCGCTTGTTTTTCTTAGCTGGATAATCATTTGTCCCCAAATTACTCACTGACTAATCCATCCTTACTTCACTAGTTTGAAATGTTCCTTTTAGCATTGGTCTGTTGGTGGGCTTGTTCTGTGAACTTGATTTGTCTTCTATTTCTGCGTGGTACCAATACGTCCCCTACTCAGGCACTCTTCTTTAGAGATAACTTCCTGGTTAGTCTCAATGTGTTCATCCTTCTGGATAAGTTTTTGCAGTGACTCTCTCCCTGCATTTTTTAAATATATATATATATATATTTTTTTTAATTGATTTTAGAGAGGAAAAGAGAGGGAGAAAGAGATAGAAACATCAATGATGAGAGAGAATCATTGATCGGCTGCCTCCTGCATGCCCCCTATTAGGGATCGAGCCCAAAATTCGGGCATGTGCCCTTGACCAGAATCAAACCCAGGACCCTTCCGTGCACAGGCCGGCACTCTATTCACTGAGCCAAACCAACTAGGGCTTTCCCTTCATTTTTGCTCAGGAGAAAGAAACTGAGCTCCTGGGTAGGGACTTTGTCCAAGGTGCCGTAGAACAGAACTCGGGTTTTCTAACTCTTCGCCTCTCGGATAATAATACTTCCCTTCCCAATAGGACATTTAGCTCAAGACACCTTCTCATTTCTTATCTCTACAATTGGCCTCTACGTACTGCGGGGTAGCAGGCTGTTATGAAATCTACTACCTTTCGGGCAACCCACAAATTGAGGAATCTTTTTAACCTGAAGATCCCACATTTGCCTGACTTTGCAGAGTTTGAGAACTCGCACCAAGTGGGATCACAGAGAACAAGGGGGTGGGAAGAAGTGGTGTTCTAGGTGTCTTTTCCACCTGCCCAGCTCCAGTTCTCTCCGGAAGAGTGGGAATGCCGATTGTCTGCTGGACACCATGAAAAAGGCTCTGCTGGGCAAGGCCGCTGGAGCCTGGGCCTGGGAGGGGTGTGATGTCAGGCCTCAGTGCTCTAATGCCCCGTGTCCCGCTCGCCCCCCGTAGGTACCTGGGCAAAGAAGGCTGGGCACCAGCCTCCTACCTGAAGAAAGCCAAGGATGACCTGCCGGCTCGGAAGAAGAATCTGGCAGGCCCCGTGGAGATCATCGGGAACATCATGGAGATCAGCAACCTGCTGAACAAGAAGACATCGGGGGACAAAGAGACTCCCCCAGCCGAAGGCGAGGGCCCAGAAGTCCCCATTGCCAAGAAGGAGATCAGCCTGCCCATCCTCTGCAACGCCTCCAACGGCAGCGCCCTGGGGATCCCCGAGAGGACCGTCTCCAAGCTGGCCCAGGGCTCCCCGGCCGTGGCCAGGATCGCCCCTCAGCGGGCCCAGATCAGTAAGAGCCTCATGGAGCCCCGGGTCCTTGCTGCAAAGCAATTTATAGAGCGGGCACGGGGTGCCAGGAAAGCTAGAGGGGTGTGCGGGACCCCCATATCATTTTCCTCTCGACATATTGACAACCCCTGACCCCAGCCTCACTCTGCCCACTTGTCTCACGCTAATCACAGGAGTGGACAAGGCAATTCCTCCTCACTCTCCACTGAAGATAAATTCCCTGAGTGTCAGAGGTGCTGGCATTCCCGTCCCTAGTGGAGAGCCAGGAATGCTCACTTTGTAGATGGGTGTAGCTGTGAAATGAGCCGGAGATGCAAGGCTGCTTTGCTGATGGAGGAACATCTTTCTGGGTCTTACCCCTCCTTCCCGATTGCCTTCCCCAGTTACTAGAAACCAGAAAGACAAGGCCGGGCTGACTTTACCTCTTCCCACAAGCGTATTTCTAAGGGGCATCCTTCAGGAATCTCCTTCCCTCGCACAGGAGGGACCGGCTCTCCGGCACCCTCTGAATCTCACAGAGCCTTCGTTTGGGGGTCACACTGTTCTCTGTTACGAGAGACGAGCTTCTGTGTGTGTCCAGCCGGCCTTAAATCTGGAGGAAAGCTGTTTGGATTCTAAACATGGTGAGGTCAGCTCTGTGCCTGCCGTCTTTTAGGCAGGCAGTTGGGAAATGTTCTGAGGGCATCTCCTCTCGCCTGGAGTTGTGCCAGCTTGTAGGGATTCAGTACTGAGCGCCCAAGAGACGCGGGTTCGGCTCCACACTTGGATAAGGTTTGTACCTGGATAAAGTTATATACACCCTCCCTCCTCAAAAATGCCTCCTCGGGTCTGCACATTTCACAACGTGCACATCACCTCAGAGGGTCCCCAGCAGCTCAGCCAGGTAAGTGAGAGCATGGGTCCATGTAGGAACTTTCCAGAACCAGTGGGTGCGTATGCCCAGGGAAGCAGGTACAGGCCGTGTTGCCCAGTGTCTGGCTGACATTCTTTAAGCCATGTGTCTTCTTCCAGGCTCCCCCAACCTGAGGACAAGGCCTCCACCTCGCAGAGAATCTAGCCTGGTAGGTGCCACACCTCGTCTGTCCTGGTCCCTTCCTGGGGGTGCATGCGCTGCAGCGGCCCCAGTCAATTGGCTGTCTCGCTGCAAAGCCTGCTGGTCCTGAGGTTTCTGAGGACCCCGCTGGGCCTTCAGCTCTGTGGGGCTAGGGGCAGAGTGGGAAGCCTGCAGATTCCAACTTTTTGGGGGACTTAGCTAGACAGTTTATAATAAAAAACGCTCTGCACTCCAAAGCTAAATAAATCCATTCCGGCCACCGCACTGGCAGACATAAACATTTAGACTGGCCGGCGAGAGTGTCCAGCCAGGGCATTGCCAGGGGCTTGCAGTGCAGCTGCTGTCCATGTGAGCCTGGATACCTCTCAGCTTTGCCTTCCTGGCTTAGGAATGCCCGATGAAGGTGGTGGGTGCCAGAGCCAGGAGGGCGGAGGGCAGGCCAGTGAGCATCCTCCAGGAGCAGGGGTCGGTGGCCAGGGCTGGCTTTCATGCTGAAGATTACAGATGCTCAGTGCTACTGGGGTGCCTGGCACCTGTGGGTGGGACTTCCTGGTACCCAGACCACCGGGGACACAGCTGTGCATTCAGGGTGCTGGGCTGGGGCCAGCGGTGATGCTGGTGGCAGGCCGAGAGCCCCAGAGCAGAGAACCGTTATCAGCGGCAGTGAGATGTGTGGAAAGAATGAGGCTCGAGTCTGCCAAGCATAGATTCATATTCCACCCTGAATTGCTTGCCCCCCTCCAAGCCTCAGTTTCCTCCTCTGTAAGTACCAGCCATCTCCTAGGGCTGTCGTAAGGATGAAATGAGGCGATGGGTACTGTGGGCAGATGGCCAGGTTTTATTCCCTGTGTCAGCTGGGACCGTTGGGGTGACTACCCGTGACTCCGTGTGGAAACAGATTTCTGGAGTCACATCTGGGCCAACACGAGGGTTACTGTGATCGGTGCCGTCGTCGGCCCAGGGTTGGGGGATAGCGGCAGTTCCTGGAGACGCAGGCCTTCGGTGATCGGGATTATTGACGATTTGGCCCCTGGAAATGGGACCGCCTCGCCCTGGCCATCAGCCCCAGCGGGGTTTCTGTCTCCCTTTCCCGTGTTTTACGCAACTAAACAGCGAGTTCTTTCCTGCCATTTCTCTCTGGCCCAGCTAATTATGTTTGGGCAGACTTGATTTTGGCAGGAATGGGGTAATTCCTTCCACGCTTACCAAATGCAGGGCTTGCTGAGGCAGGGCTGCTGTTTCCAGCCAGGCCCGGCCGAATCCCAGTTGGCCAACAGTCCGGGCTGTGCTGGGGCCTGGGCCACATCTGCTCACATGCACAGCTGGAGGGCCAGGCACCAGGGTAGGGAAAGGGGGCCCCAGTCCTCCCACCTTTGCTCACTCTGACCCCAGGCCGCTGAGCTATAACTGGCCGGATCAGGACTTGCTGAGCCTCAGAGGAGGATGAAGGCAGAGGATAGGGTGGTGTTTCAGGAGGGGTGTTTAGCTTTGGCTTTTATTTATGGAACTTTTCCTGTGCCCCTGGCTGGACCAGAAGTTAGTATCTTATCTCTGTAATCAAATTTTATGATTAACGAGAGGAAGGGAGAGGGAGACAGAAACATTAATAAGAGAGAATCCTATAGACCAAAATCCAGGCATGTGCCCTGACCGGGAATCGAACTGTGACCTCCTGGTTAATAGGTTGATGCTCAACCACTGAGCCATGCCAGCCAACCTCTCAGCAATCCTCTTAATGAGCCTGTTTTAGTTGCATTGTATAGGTCAGGAAACTGAGGCTCAGCGAGGTCAAGGCTAAGGCCGTACAGCCTGTAAATTGCTGAGCTGGGTTGGAGCTCACATGTGCCCAGCTGCAAGGCCGAGGTCTTCTTGCCACAACACAGCTACTTCCCCTCCCCAGTCTCCCCTACACACACATCCCATTCAAAAAATGTTTCGTTTTAACCTCTCCATGTGATACAAGGACATACTGGGCATAATGGAGAGGCACCAAGTTCCATTTGGGCAGGATAGAGAACAGGTCCAACTAGGACATATGCGCTGTGAGGGCAAATGGGGGTGCCATCCTTTTGGTTCACTGTTGGATGCCCAGGTCCTTAGACCAGAGTCTGACACCCAGTAGACACTTAGGAAACATCTGTAAAATAGGTGAATGAGGTTCACAAGTCATTGGCCGCGGCCAGATTCTAAATGTCCTTGAATGTCGTGGTTGGATATTGATGTGCCAGCGTCTGAAGACAGTCAGGCTCTGTTCCACGCAGAGGGTCCGGGGTGTAATCGGTGCCTGCCTGGCGTGTGGCAGCATCGTGGTGACCAGACGAGGTTTCTCACCCAGTCCCACGCCCCCTCCCTCACACCCCACCCGTGGAGGTGGCTGTGTCCCAGCTCTGCCCCTGCCACCGGATGTCACCCCAGCGGCTCCTCTTTTAGACTTAAGAACAGGGGTTGTCCTCTCCAGCAAGGCAATGTACACAGACTAAGTTACAATGGTTTCTCCATCTTTTTAAATTTTTGTTTTGGGACCTAGCTGTTGAGGCTTCTGAAAACTGGATCTCCAGAGATGGAAAAGTGGACATTACTGTTACTAAATGAACGTTTGGAAGGCTCAGACAAGCCTCAAGTGAGCCCTAGGTATTCTTAGAAATCCTAGCGAAGGGAATGACAGACACTCAGGTCAACGGCTGTCCACTCCTGTAAGTGCCATGCTCACTGCCGTTACCATCTGATCAGGTGGGTTTTGCTCACCGAGTCCTTCTCTGCTTCAGGGGTTCCAGCTGCCCAAGCCACCAGAGCCCCCTTCTGTGGAGGTGGAGTACTACACCATTGCCGAATTCCAGTCCTGCATTTCTGACGGGATCAGCTTTCGGGGTGGACAGAAGGCAGAGGTGAGCCGTGGGGCCCTGAGGCTGAGGGTTTTAACTCAGGCTGGACGGAGACCTGCCTCGTTGCCCTTCTCTGTCTTCCTGGCCCTGTGCCTGAGGGGCAAGCAGGGCCGGTGCAGAAACAAGGTCCATAAAGCTAGTAAGGCCACAGTCAGGACTACAACTGAGGACTACAACTGTCTCCGCCCAGGGCAGTGAGATGACAGGCAGCGGGGACAGTGGGCTGTGCTCTGTAGGAGGCTCTGGCCTCAGGCCACATCTCTCAGTTCCACTCACCCGCGTCTTCTCATTCTCTTCCGACCTGAGAGACCCTTCCCAGGGTCACCCAGGGAAGACCTAGCAGTACCGGAGGAGGGAGGCGGATGGGAATGGTGGAATGGTTCTTTTTATACATACGGGTCCTTGGCAGTTGGGTTTTGTTGGGACTGGGTACAGTGCCTCTTCTAAGAGCAGTAACTTTAGGGGAAGAAGGAACGGATCTGAGAGGAGGCCAGCCCTACCAGCGTGTTGAGAGGCTTGGAGGGCAGGGGAGAGGGATCTGAACACTGGAAGCATCCCCCAGCCGAAGCTAGGAGATGGTAGAGATCTAGGTTTGAGCTTCGGCCCATCACTCAACTATGTTGGGCCGTGGGCCCCTTACTCAGTGGCTCCATTGGCTCACCTGTGAATAGAGATAATGCCTCCCAGAGCTACAGTATGAATGATGCTCCTAGCCCAGCTCATCACAGGGTCTCGGCGATCCTCCCAACTCACTGGCCTGCCCGCCCTTTTCCCCCCTTAGGTCATCGACAAAAACTCGGGCGGCTGGTGGTACGTGCAGATCGGAGAGAAGGAGGGCTGGGCCCCCGCGTCCTACATCGACAAGCGCAAGAAGCCCAACCTGAGCCGCCGCACGAGCACCCTGACCCGGCCCAAGGTACCCCCGCCGGCGCCCCCCAGCAAGCCCAAGGAGGCCGAGGAGGGCCCGGCGGGCACTGCCGAGAGCCAGGACTCCCCGCTGAAGCTCAAGTACGAAGAGCCCGAGTATGACATTCCTGCCTTTGGCTTCGACTCGGAGCCGGAGCTGAGCGAGGAGCCCCCGGAGGACAGGGGTTCGGGGGACAAGCGCCTGGCCGCCCAGCCCCGCAGGCCCTCGCCGGCCTCCTCCCTGCAGCGGGCCCGCTTCAAGGTGGGCGGCTCCTCCGAAGACGTGGCCCTGGAAGAGGAGACCATCTATGAGAACGAGGGCTTCCGGCCCTGTGCCGAGGACACCCTGTCCGCCCGGCGTTCCTCCCGGGACAGCGACTCCCCAGGAGGCTCCCCCCTGTCCCTTGCCAGGAAGAACTCCCCCAAATCGGACTCCCCCAAATCATCCTCGCTCCTCAAGCTCAAGGCGGAGAAAAACGCCCCGGCGGAACTGGGGAAGAACCACTCCTCGGCCTCCTTTTCCTCATCCATCACCATCAACACCACCTGCTCCTCCTCCTCCTCCTCCTCTTCCTCCTTGTCCAAGCCCAGCGGCGACCTGAAGCCCCGCTCTGCCTCGGACGCAGGCATCCGCGGCACCCCCAAGGTCGGAGCCAAGAAGGACGCGGACCTGAAGGCCGGGCTGGCCTCCTGTGCTCGGGCCAAGCCGTCCGTGCGGCCCAAGCCGTTCCTGAACAGGGCGGAGTCCCAGAGTCAGGAGAAGATGGACATCAGCACTTTACGGCGCCAGCTGAGGCCCACGGGCCAGCTCCGGGGGGGCCTCAAGGGCTCCAAGAGCGAGGACTCGGAGCTGCCCCCCCAGACAGCCTCCGAGGGCCCCAACGAGGGGTCCAGGAGAGGCTCGGCCGACCTCATCACCCTCCCAGCCGCCACGCCCCCGTGTCCCGCCAAGAAGGGTCGGGAAGGGCAGGCCGCCTCCTACGTGACGTGTAGCGCCTACCAGAAGGTCCAGGACTCGGAGATCAGTTTCCCCGCGGGCGTGGAGGTGCAGGTGCTGGAGAAGCTGGAGAGCGGCTGGTGGTACGTGAGGTTTGGGGAGTCGGAGGGCTGGGCCCCTTCCCACTACCTGGTGCTGGGGGAGAACGAGCCGCCGGACCCCTTGGGCAAGGAGCCGGACGCAGTCACCACCGCCAAGGGCAAGCAGAAGGAGGGCAAGTCGGACAGCCTGGAGAAGATCGAGAAGCGGGTGCAGGCCCTGAACACCGTCAACCAGAGCAAGAGGGCCACGCCGCCCATCCCTTCCAAGCCGCCCGGGGGCTTCGGCAAGACCTCGGGGGCCGGCGCGGTGAAGATGAGGAACGGGGTCCGGCAGGTGGCCGTGCGGCCCCAGTCGGTGTTCGTGTCCCCGCCGCCCAAGGACAACAACCTGTCCTGCGCCCTCCGGAGGAACGAGTCGCTCACGGCCACCGACGGCCTCCGGGGCGTCCGCCGGAACTCCTCCTTCAGCACCGCCCGCGCGGCGGCCGCGGAGGCCAAGGGCCGCCTGGCCGAGCGGGCCGCCAGCCAGGGCTCGGACAGCCCCGTGCTGCCCGCCCAGCGCAACGGCATCCCCGTGTCCCCCGTGCGCCCCAAGCCCATCGAGAAGTCCCAGTTCATCCACAACAACCTCAAGGACGTGTACGTGTCCATCGCAGACTACGAGGGGGACGAGGAGACCGCGGGCTTCCAGGAGGGGGTGTCCATGGAGGTCCTGGAGAGGAACCCCAACGGCTGGTGGTACTGCCAGATCCTAGACGGGGTGAAGCCCTTCAAAGGCTGGGTGCCCTCCAACTACCTGGAGAAAAAGAACTAATGGGGGCATGGGTCCTTCCGGCCTGGGTGTGGATGAGTGGTGAGACGTAGACAGTAGGGAAAGGGGAGGGGGGAGGGGGGAGGGGGGGAGGGAGGGGGAGAGAGGAGGGCAACATTAAACCCTGCCGAAGGTGTGACCTCAAGGACGCTCGCCTCCAGGCTGCCCCTGGCTGGGAGGGAGGGTCTGGTGGGGGCCGCCTTGAGCAGGAGGCCTGAGACCAGAGGTGAGACGGCTGAGCCCCATGTGTGCCCCCTGGGGACTTCACTGATGGGCTCAGCACCATCTGGGACAGGCCAGTGGGAAGCCCCAGTTGTGCCTTGGCTGCACATCCGGCAAGGATGTGGTCCTAGGGGCCTCCGTGCCCTGCCCCAGCCTCGCCCGGTTCCAGTGGCTGGCAGCTTGTCACCAGGGGTGGCCCGGGCATCCTCCTCACTGCAGTGGCGAATTGTGCCATTGGTGGGGATTGTAGAAGACGCCTCTGGCTTTGGGCTTGGAGGCATCTCCTGCAAGCTCAGCCTGTCCCCGGGCCAGGCCGCGGTCCGCGTCTGTTAGTTTAAGAAAAAGCAATTCCCCAGGTGCCAGCAAGGACCACCTTCCTTCACTGTCACCGACCTTGAGAATGGCTGGGCCACGGAGACCCACCAGCCCCATTGACAGAGACGGGCAGAGCTGGGGGTCTCTCTCAGGCTGCACAGACTTTATTTTGGATATCTCTGGGTGGGCAGTTTCTTTGCATGTTTTGGGAGAGTTTTTTTTTTTTTTTTTTTTTTATTGATTTGGGGCTTCTTGGTTGGGCCCTGGGTTTTGGTCTTATTTTAAGGGTTGTTTGGGGGCCTGAGGACGGTCAGCCTCGCAGGGGACGGGATGGGGGTGGGTGGGCTTTTCTGCCACACTCTTGTGGGAGGTTGGTTGGTGTTTGGGTCTCACATGTCCCCCCTCCACAAGCTGGCGTCGTTTCGTTTGGTTTCCACTGTGTGGTCAGTGTCTGATGGGGTTGGGGGCCGGGAAGCCCCTGCTCCCAGACCGCGAGGCACTCACCTTAGGGGGCGCGCCCAGCCCCGGGGGGAGGAGGGCCTCGTTCAGGAGCGAAGGCGGCTCTCGGGCTGCTGGGTGACCGCCATTCTGTGCACAGTCTCCCGCCCGGGCAGGACCGAGAGCCTGGGCCCCCGGGCCAGACGGGAGCAAACACCACCAGCCTGCCGGCGATGCCACGGGGACCAAGGAGACGGAGGACCCCAGACCAGGCAGGAGCCCGCCTGGTCGTCCCGAGGGGCAGCGCCCCCGAGAAGAGAGAAGCGAGAGAATCAAGTCCCCGTCCTCTTGGGGTCTTTCGATCATTGACGTTTCCGAGGGGACCCTCCAGGAGCCGGGCGGCTCTCCGGGGACTCGCCCTTTGCTGGGAGTGGATTTCCACACGTGCCTTTGACTTCGGACAGGTCAGGCTTCACGGCCGCCGACTCCGCTGCCAGGATCCTGGACAAGGGTTGGTGTTTGCTCCCTCCACCTGCTTCCCACCCAGGACGGAGACGTTGCCTGAAGAGGAGCATGGGACCCGGGTCTGGTGCCTTCTGTGCCCCTTGCGCCCCCTCCTGGCCGTCCTCCTCCCCTCCACGGAAGCCTGGCAGCTAACGCCAACTGCTCGTGTTCTCTGTTCAAGGGCCGTGGTGGTGAGATCTCGTTCCTTTTTTGTTTTGTTTTGTTTTTGTGAGTTTGTTTAAAATGGAAACTTAGTTATTTTCTTCTGCTGGACAGTATTAAATAGAGCAGGATGTTGAGTTAATCTGCTAGATGGCAGTACTAATGGTAGTGGTTTTAGTGTCTTCCTATTAATATTATTTGGACTTATGTTGAACAATAATGATAAAGAAGTGGTTCATTATTTTTTAATTAATGCACTTTAATAAGGTGGAATGGAAAGAAACCCAGAGAGCAAAGTGCATTACTTAAAGATGCAGTATATACTTTTCTCATTTTTTAAGCAGCACATATTTATTGAAAGAAGAAAAAAAGTAATTTATGATTATTTAAAATAAAATTTAAAAGTAGAGTGACTGTCGGGTTCAAGGACCTTCCACGTAGCAATCTTCCAGGGGGAGGGCCCCAGCGGCCTCACTCCTCAGATGTCTGCACTGAGCCAATTCGATCCTAACGTGACAGCCAGGCCAGGAAGGAGTGCAGGACGCATCTGCCAAGCACAGAGCATCTCAGTTGGACTGGACCACAGTGCTCCCCAGAGCCTGCCTTCCCCTGCCCTTCCTCACTGTCTGTACTGCCCTATGGGGCTCTATTCTACCACCACCAGCGCCCACATTCCCCTGCCCCTCGGGGACTCTCAATCCTTGATCCCCAGTGCTCTAAGTGATGGTCATTAAAAGTGACCTCAAAGGTCACTCCGTCCCATCCCCTCCTGTGATTACAGCACAAGAACAGGAAGTGACTCCCAAAATCACGTAGCTACGTTTACTGGCAGACCTCCCCACGGCATCCATCCTGGCACTCCTACCCCCCCCCCCCGCCCCCCCCTTGAGCTTATTGTGTGGTCATCATGTTTACATTGGGACATCCAGCCCCGGGGATGGCTGGGAGTTGCTCAGGCATCCTGGGAAAGTGGGGAATGCTGCCACCTGGTGACAGCATGGAGATTTGGGCAGCGAACAGGGATTGCCATGTCCCATCTTTGCCTCTCGCCCCCTCACCATCACCCCATAATTCACAGCACAGCACAAATCCTGCAAACCGAAAGAGAATATTAATACTTGAATCATCAAAAGGGTGCATGCCAGTCCCTCTCAGACACGGCTAGGCGATACCAGGCCTTGTGCCCCTGGACCCCTAGCCCTTATCCAGGGCAAGAGGGCCTTTCCTTAGAGCTACTGAGCTGCTTTGTGATGTCGGAGGGTACTGCTGGCAGCAGGTGGAGGAGGGAGGGGCCTGGGGCTCAGACCCATCTGGAGGAAAACCAGATCGGCCTAAAAAAGGAAAAAGAAAAATGAAATCTCAGCAGTGTCCAAACCTAGTTTTCCATTAGTTACGATTAAAAATGTGAAATGACATTGTGTGGCTGTATACTGCAACTTTAATCATAATGAGCCCTTCTGAGGTCATTATTGAGGTTTATATAATGCCTGAAGATGCATCATTGGTGCTTTTTTTGTTGTTGAAAGACTTTTTCTTTTATGGGTTTTATGGGGGGGGGGGGATGTCTTCTTCCCTCCCCCTTTATAACAGCGGGCCTGGCTGGGCTTCCTGGCCCTGCCATGCTGTTTCCCCTAGGCTAAGGGACCACAGGGGCGGCAAGAGGGAGCTGGGGGTGGGGGGTGACTCCGAACAGCAGGTGTGCCATTTGCTCCTAGCTGTGGCCGGGCCCTGCCTTGCCGGCCCTTGGCCCCCATCCACCCTGAACCTGGCCCCAACAGCTTCTCTTTGTTCCTCCTCCGTTCTCCATTATTGACGAAGGCATTATATAGGATCATTTTAATCACTTTCAGATGTTAGAGCAGCATATTTTACTGGCATTTATCCATCGCTTTCCTCAGCAAGGCATGTTACTACCCTTATCATCTAAGGAAAAAAAGACAAGGGAATTTCGGTCAAGCATTATTTTCCTATTACTAGTATTTGCAGAGTAGATGTAGAACTATTTAAGTTTAGACCTTGGTTTGGTAGTTTTTTGTTTTGTTTTTTTAAGGGGAAAAAAAGATAAGGTAACCCCTACTTTTCCTGTTTTTGTATTTAACTAATATATTATTTCTTTAAGGTTACTCACTTCCCCTATTCCCTTCAAATACTTTGCATTCTCAATCGAAAATGAAAACAATCTGAGAGACAGGAAACGTGCAATATTACCAAGAGGGATGCCAGGGTTTGTGAGGACAGGGACGGGAGACCCGGTGGCCCAGTCTGTCCATAGAGGGAGGCGGGGCTGCTGGGAGAAGTGGGAGCTGTGGAGCAGACAGGTGGTCCAGGTTATTGATCTTTGTCCTTCCTCTCCTGTCCCCCTTCCCTGGCAAGGTGTCAGGGTCCCCGCCAGAGGACAGCCCCTTTTGCTGTTGGGTGTCATCCACCCACAAGAAAGGGATTCAGGGAAGTAGCATGGGGCTCTTGACCTCAGAGCAGAGCAAGGACATCCAGGAACGGTTCCTTGTTTTCATTTCCATTGTTTCCAGCCAGCTGTCCCGAAAGTCACTCACCAGCCCTTGCTTGCCCCAGCCTCCTGATGTTTGGGCCGTGATCCTTTGGATGTATGTTTGAGTCTTTTCTAAAACTACGTAACCTCAGTTCAGTTCTTGGGCAGGAACCCTAGATGTAACCAAATCCTTTTTCGGGGGAGGTGGGTGCCTTCAGCCCTGCGTATCCCTGTGAGACACCAATTTCCACAAGCCTGCAGCTGGGCCTGGTGCTGACCTGGGCCACCTGTTCATCTCAGTGACTCCAGCCGAGGGGTGAGCCCTGCCTCTGCTCAGCACCCCAACGCTCGGTGCCCAGAGGGTCTCGGAAGAGCAGCCGAGGGGCCTACCCAGGTCTCTGCAGACAGAACCGCCCACAACAGGTATCAAAGGGGCCTCCTCCTAGGTTGGCACAGGCAGAGGAAGCAGCAGGGTGGGAGGCCTCTGGGTTCCAGCCTTTGGAGCCCTGCTCCTCGGCTCCGGGGACGCCCTGGCCGGCTTGTCCCCTCCACCTGCAGTACTGTACGCTTGCCGTCCCACCCCGTTTTAGTGCGTTTCTGTACAAACATGGATCTGTGTGCCAAGTGGACTGTGCCCCATGTGTGGGCCTCTCCCCTTGGCGTGTCTACATCTTTGTCCAACCTTTGAAAATCTTGACGCAGAGCTCTCTGGAAAAGAGAACCATCCACATAACGAATTAAGATTCCCTCACTTTTTTGAGGGCTGTGTGTTGAGGGAGTGTTATGTATGCACCTGCTTGCGCGCGCGCGTGTGTGTGTGTGTGTGTGTGTGTGTGTGTGTGAGAGAGAGAGAGAGAGAGAGGGAGATTGATTTCCCACTGGAACGAAGTAGAATGGGGTTAGAGAAAACTAGCGGGCATGCTGTCTCCATTGTACAGTCCTTGGCATTGGGCAGGCCCCACGGGACTCACAGCTTCTGGCAGCAAGTGTGTTGATTCACACACGTAACTCTGGCTGGAGAGTGCAATGTGTCTTTTTTTTTTTTGTAATTATTTTAAGTATTTAGTTGGAAACTTCACACTGGCATTAACAGATCTAGCAGAAGCAGCCTAGGCCATCGTCCCAGCTCCCAAAGTTGTGGAAAAGCATGCTGTGCTGTGCGGCAGGCCGACTCCCACCCATGGCCATGCATGTCATCATCGGGGGGGGGGGGGGGGGGGGGTCGGCCCTCAGCTCTTGTTTGTGAGGATGACCAGGGCGAGAACTCGCTCACAGTGAGCTCAGCAGACCTGCACGTGTGTGTACATCAGCACCTATCTAGACCTGGGGCCCGGACACTCGATGGGACTGGTGTGAAGGGTTCCCCCATGACCTTACTGAGATTTCTGCCAAAACCATGGTCCCTGTGTGGGGCAGCCTCTGTGGTTCTCATGCTCTGTGACCAGGGAAGGATGGGGTCAGTGACCTATTGCCTTATTTCAGGAAAAGCAACCCCACTGATGTGAGCTTCCCTCCTGTTTTGTCCTGTGCACCTGGGCTCTCGGACAAGAAGTTGGGCACATGGGTGCTTGTAGACTGGGCAGGCCTGGTCCCAACCTGCCTGTAAGGTTGAGATTGCCATGCGATCCTCCTGACCCATTCCTGTCTTTCTAATCTTGAGTTTGCACTTGACCTTGACAATCACCCACCCGAGTCCTAGAACTTAGTGGCCTTAGAGAATGGGTTCCTGTGCTAAAGGGTCCCTCCTCTGCACTCCCCGTTTCATCCTGGCTAATGGGGCTGGACTTCAGGAGGCGAGAGAGAGGGGTAAAGAATTGTCTTACAGCAAAAGGATGGATCGAGCATGTTGGAGGCGAGCAAGAGGCATGTCGGCAAGATGAGACTGTGCATGTGTGGCTTGGTTGGGTGTCTGGAGCTGACTGTCCGTCTCTGGGAAGGTGGCTTCCAGGAGAGGGAGTCTAGAAAGGGGAACGTGTGAGAAGGCAGAGAGAAGGTTTGGAGTCTTGTCTATTAGAAAGAAGGAAGAAGTTGGTTCTGAGTGTTTCAGGAAGAGAGCAGGTAGGGAGGGAATTTAGTGATTCAACACACACAGGGTCCAGCCAGACCAGGTTGGAAATAAGGCTGGAGAGGAAACGCTACTTGCTGTGCCACAAGCTGGGTCCCTAGCAGGTTCTTCATGAACGGTCACTCTGTACTCAGTGGAGAGTAAGTCACCAGCAACAACTTGTATTTTGAGTTTGGAGGTCCTGGCTCCAGAATTGTCATCTATCTCCCAGGTTCCCCACTGGTTTTTCCCACCTTTTGTCTCATCCACAGCTGACCTCTCATTGTTTAAATCGAAGACTAGAGACCAAATGGGTCATGTAGTTGGAGACCCACCATCCCCAAACGGGAACCTCCGGGTCCAGGTACCATCAGGCCCCTCTGGAGGAAGACAGCCTTCTTGGTTCTTAGGTGTCTCTGATGGTGCCTGTGGTTGTTCAGTTGGCTGAGCCTGCCCGCTGGTGTGACTTAGCAGACGAGGTGAGGGGGGCTGTTCTAGTGCACACTCATCCATGGATGTGCCCTTTCATGTTTAGTGGCCTGTGACCAGGACACACTGCTCTCAAGTGTTTATTTCGGAGAAAGGAGGGTAAGCAGCCGCCGTTCTTGAATCTGCATCTTGTTCTCTGCGACAGGTTTTCTTTAAGTGCAGGACACAGGATGGGAGAGGGTTTCGCGGCCAGTGACTGAGAGGTTCGCAGGAGGGTGACCCGTGAGTGGCAGGTCCCTGAAGTGTGGGTTTGTGGACTGCATGGTTGCATGTGAACTTGGTGCCTCAGCTCCAGAACTCGGGGGGGACTTCTCAGAGTTAACCCTCCTCCCACCCCCAGATCATAGTGGGCACTGTGGGGGTCTCGTTGTTTCCTTCCCCCCACCCCCCTCAGCAGAGAAACTGAAGGAAAGGACATTAAATTGAATGCAGTCTATTTGAGCACTAAAAAATTTCCAGGATCAACGGTGGTGCTAAACTATCTCCATGTTTCTGTTGTTTTTAACAGTGGGGTGTTTTTATTGTTCTCATCACAAAAATGCAGTGTCCTTGGGGAAGGGATCCAGCCCCTCGGCCTTACCTTCCCAGGTGTCCTTTATCGTTTTGACGGGACTCTTTGGTCTGCAGAAATACTATGACTTGGCATGCTTCTAGACTGTAAGATTTGGGTTGTTTTGTTTTGTATTTTATGTTTACATGCATCTTCTTGTATTTCCCTGAAAATTAAATAAAGTTTTTGACCTTTCTAACTCAACAGAATCACCTCTTAATTTCCTTAATGCCTGAAAACCCACCCAGCTGAAGGCAAAAGCATCCCCAGTGTAGAGTGAACTACAGGATCCATGTCCTCTGGGGACGCAGGAGGTGGGGAGGAGACGCCTCTGACCCTCCCAACTCTTGAAATCTAACAAACAGGGCTGGCCGTCCTGATCCATCTGCCACACCCAGCCTCTGCAACCAGCCAGTCGTGCTCATCTATAAAGTTTCTCTAAAGGTCTCAGGCCAGCCCAGACCAGTTTGGCTCAGTGGATCGAGCATCGGCCTGCGGACTGAAAGGTTCCAGGTTCGATTCCGGTCAAGGGCATGTACATTGGTTGTGGGCACGTCCCCAGTGGGGGTGTGCAGGAGACAGCTGATCGATGATTCTCTCATTGATGTTTCTAGCTCTCTATCCTCTCTGTAAGAAATCAATAAAATATATTATAAAAATAAAAAAATAAAGGTCTCAGGCCAGAGGCCTGTCTCTGGAGCTCAGCTGGGGCGCAGGGGCAAGGGATGGGAGACCCTGTTCTAGGAACTCAGCACTCTGTCATCCTTCCATTAGCCACTAGGTGGCGCTACCACCCCACAAGGGGACAAGGGGAGCTGTCCAGGTAAGGGTTCAGCTCAGCCAAGAGAAAGCAGAGCAGGCGTCATGGACTCCTGCTGCTGACCCAATAAGCACTGCTGCTCAACAATCCAGAGACCTGAGCTACCAAAGGGCATGGCTTCTCCCTTTCAGCTTACAAGGCTCACTTGGCATTCTGGCCCCCAAACTGCATGCACACTCACCCCACACACACATTGGCCCTCCCTCCCCAGCCCTGCACACTGCACAACACAGCCCTCAGGCTGGTACAAATCACCTTTATTCACAATCACAGCGACCCAAGTTCACAAAGGAGGCAATAACTACCCCACACTAACAGACGATGGATGGGTGGGTGGCTTCCTCTCCCCAAACTTCAGGTCAGGCAGCCCCTGTACTTACCTCTGAAATGGATCCTTTGACCGGATAGGGTCCCCACCCCCACCGAAGGGGTCACCAGGGGTCAGAGACTGGGGAGACCCGTAGCAGAACTAGGACTTCTCAAAGACTCACTGCAAGGCTGGGACGGACCCCACCCCATCCCACACAGCCCCTCACCAAAGAACTAAGTCACATAAAGCCTTTCTCCTCCCCAAACGATCACTTTACAGAGGCGGCAGCTGAGGTGCAGAGGGCTCGAGCCTGGCCACGGGGATGTAAAAAGCCATCTGAGGGGGCAGAGGGCTGGGAGGCTGGGGGGAGACCAGGCTGAAACTCTTGAAAGCTGGCCCCAGCCCATGGCCTGTCAGCACAGGGCGAGCAGGGCAGCGGTGACCGTAGCCTAAGAGCACGTGGGGGGCACTCCCTCACCCCAGAACCAGGAATAAGAACCCGGAGGCGCTGGGACCCTGTCCCTACCCCTCTCATCTTTCCTGGGGATGGAGTGCCTCCTCTAAGAACAGACTCCCTGCCTCTCACCAGGCTCCCCAGCCCTGTTCCCTGGCCCCAGCGGTGCTCCTCTCCTTCAGCCTTCCCAGAACTGTGTGTGTCCTGTGGAGGGGGCAGCTTAGGCCTCCTGCCGATGTGAGCTGACTGTGCCACCCTGCTCCAGCCCAAGGAGGAGGGGCACTTTGAGGCTCCGAGTGACCCACCAGTCCAGAGAATTAGGGAGGCTCAATTTGCCTCTGAAAATGGGCACAATCCACCGGGAGGCCTCCAATGCAGCCCCTGTTGAAGGAGTTCCAATTCATGTAAGCAGAGCCGACTATGGACTTTCAGCCGGAGTCTGGGAAACGCTGCCCCTCTCAATCCACACACACCAGGGCAGCGTTTCTAAGGGCCTGAAGGGCGGGAACTCACTCCCTGCCCCCGCAAAAAAAAAAAACAAAAAAAAAAACCCACAAACCAAATAAATAAATAAATTACAACAAAGAAAAGAGGTGGTCTTACTCCGGGAAACCTCCCTGCCCCCACCCTGGGGCCCCGACCTCGCCCGGGGACACTCCACGTCTGAGCGCCCGCCAGGCCCAGGACGGCAGGGAGGGAGGAGTCACAGAGAGGAGATGGCAGACCTGGTCTCACGGACCCTGACAGAAGACAGGCCCTGCTCTCCAGCCGGCCAAGGGGCGAGATGATCGGGGCAGAAAGGCTGTGGCTGGGGAACGGCCCTCTGCTTCTCTGCCAGGGCCCGGGGCCAGACCCTTAGGACCTGGAGCCCCCGGCGGCCTGCCTTCCCCCGGCGTCCAGGCCCGAGGGGCAGGGAGGAGACGGAGAAGGTGAGAGCAGGGCAGAGTAAGGCAGCAAGCAGCTCGGGGGCCACCTGCTCAGGGCTGCCGCCGAGCAGGCCGGGCACGGCTCAAGGGCCGCTGGCGGAGGGAGCAAACTGACGTCCGGTCCACGCTCCACCAGCCGAGCCCCACGGCCTGGCCCGGGGCCACACCTGCAGGGAGGAAGGGACACGCCTTCCAATCCTCACAAAGATGCCCCGTGGGCTAGAAGTCGGTCCCAGATGGGGAAGGGTTAGGACAGGCCGACGCCCCAATTTAGGCCCTCGGCGGCGTGAGGGGAAGAGCTGAGCACGGAGAAGGGAAAGGCAGACAAAGTGCAGACTCCTCCCCTCCCTTCCCCTCTGCTGGGCGATCTGCTTCTGCCCCCAAACCTGTACGATACCCCTCTCCCCCCCAAGCTTTCAGGGACCTCAGTTTCCCCGAGTTTAATGGAGAAGGGAAACGGAGTTTCCAAAACGAGGAGGAAGAGAAGGGCCCGTGGCTTGCCCCTCCGCTGGTGCCGGGCTGCAGTCCGAGGCGGCGGCCGCGGGGCGGGCGGCCGGGCTAGGAGCTCCGGTAGGTCTTGATGATGTCCTTGATGGGGCGGCGGCAGATGGGGCAGCAGGCGTGCAGGGCCTTCTTGAGGCGCAGGCCGCAGGCGTAGCAGAGGCACATGTGGCCACACGTGTAGATGACCGTGTCCACCGCGTGCTCGTAGCAAATGGTGCACTCGTCGCTCCACTGGCCCGCGCCGGGGGTCACCGGCGACTCGGGCAGGCTCACCGGCGAGTTGGGGGCCGTCCCTGGAGGTGAGGGGACACCGGTCAAGGGAGCTTTGGTCCAGTCCAGCCCCAGGTTCACGGGAAGGGAGCCCCCTGGCCTCCTGTTATCAGATCTACCTGTTTACTCTGACACCCCAACTTCCTGGACAGGAGGGGGGAGGATGCACTTTGGGAAGCCCCTCTGCTGGCCCCTCAGCTCCCAGACCAGCAGGGTGTCCATAAAGTAGGGATGGAGGAGGGCGGGGGAGAGAAAAAAAGGGGTCCATGCCAAAACTGGTTTGGCTCAGTGGATAGAGCGTCAGCCTGCAGTCTGGAAGGTCCCAGGTTCGATTCCGGACAAGGGCATGTACATTGGTTGCGGGCACATCCCCAGTAGGGGGTGTGCAAGAGGCAGCTGGTCGATGTTTCTCTCTCATTGATGTTTCTAACTCTCTATCCCTCTCCTTTCCTCTCTGTGAAAAATCAATAAAATGTATATTTTTTAAATTATTAAATTTTAAAAAAAAGGGGGCCCAAAATCTTTTAAGGCAGGCTCCGCCTGAGCTATCCTTGGGTGCTCCCTATAGGCTAAAAATGTCCTTTGGAGAAAGGTACCCTGCAAGGGGACAGAAGGGGATACACCCCAGAAATCGCCTCCAACGAGGGTTCACCAGGCCACTCCCGCTCCTCCAGGGCCCCGGCCCTGACACAGAAATGGCATGCCTTCCTTGGCCAGGGTCTCCGGGGGAGGAGGCCTGGCACAGACACCACCGACCTTGAGGGCCAGCCCACTTACCGCCAGCAGAGCTCCCCAGAGGTCCCGAGCTGCAGGTGCTGAGCAGGGGGTCAGAGAGGCGGCTGCCCAGGGCGCTGGGCGAGGTCGGTGTGGAGGCGGGGGAGCAGGGAAGAGATGGGATGCCCCGCTCTGCCAGGATGGTGGAGCCTGTAGAGGAGAGGGAGGAAGGGATGGACTAGCAACACAAAGGCCCATGGGGAGAAAGCTCGAGCCTTCGCCCCTCCGGTAGGTTCCCAGGAGACACAGTGGGTGCCACAGTCTGAGCACACGGCGCAGCCCCTGGGCTCAGGGCAGGACCCCACAGGCTGGGTCAGCATCCTGCCCCCGCTCTCCAAACAAGCCCTCTGCCCAGCCCACCTCCACCCTTCCCCTGGCACCCTTCACCCGCAAGGTTTCCCCAGCCGGAGAGCAAGGGCACCTTCCTCCCACCCCGAATGGCCCTTCCGGCCCTGGCCTCGCCCTCATCACTGTCCCCAGGTATCGCCCACCTTCTCCTTGGCACTGGCACCTTTGAAATGCCCTAAGCCGTCTCCCACACTTGTCTGTCCTACATTCTTTCCCAGGCCTTCACACCTCTCCCTCTTCTCCTTCTCACCTCCTCTGCCCTCCCTCACCCCTCTTCCCTCCAACAAGTCCTGGGGGCCTGCCAGTGTGTATACAACCCTAAAACTGGGGTCAAGGCCCACAGAGCTCTTCCCTCAGACAGCTAGTGATCCAGGGAGCCTCTTGGAGCTGTTCTCAAACCCCTCCTACTGACACCCTTGACCCCCGCCCCAAACCACATTCCTCCCTTTAGCACTGACCAGCCACACACACCACAGGCAAAGGACTAAACTGCCACAGATTCTGGGGTATGATTTGTCCTTTGCCCGGGAATGCAGCTTTGTTTCCAGTTAAACCATGAGCCTCCTGAGAGCGGGTAATCTTACTCACCTGAGACTCTCACAGGCCCCAACACAGTGGTTCTCAACCTCTCTGATGCCGCGACCCTTTAATACAGTTCCTCTCTCAACCTGTTGGCACAGTGTTTCCCAAACTTCTCTTATGATGAGAATCACCTGGTGGAGTTGTGAAACTACAGATTCCTGAATTCCAACTAAGAAGTGCTAAACTAGAATTTTTGGGAACGTATACAATTTTATCTACATGTTCCCAAAAATTCTAGCTTAGCACTTCTTAGTTGGGATTCAGGAATCTGTATTTTAACAACTCCACCAGGTGATTCTCATCTGAGAGAAATTTGGGAAACACTGTTCAGCAGGTCTCGACCCACAGATTGAGAATCTCCCTGTAGAGCCTAAGACCATCAGAAAACACAGATATTTACATTACGATTCATAACAGTAGCAAAATTACAGTTATGAAGTAGCAACAAAAATAATTTTATGGTTGGGGGTCACCACGCCATGAGGAACTGTATTAAAGGGGCGCGGCATCAGAAAGGCTGAGAACCACCGCGGGCCTACCAGAACGCCCTGCACACAGGTACTCAATGAGATCCCTATGATCCGCTATTGGCTCTCACCCACTTAGTCACTGTTTCTAGCATATTCATTAGATACCCACAGGGTTTCTCTTACTGTTGTTAATAGTTTTCAAGTTAATTATTACCTCCTTCAGACATGAACACCCTCTATTTGTTTCTCTTGTCTACTGCACTAGCTTGCATTTTCAGAACAATACCGATACCCAAAGGCATCCTTATCAGACTCCTGACTTTAATGAGCGCATTTGTAGCGTTTCACCATTATAAAATTTGCTACAGTTTGGGAGTGAGGGAACTTCACCCTGCACACTTCCCATTCACTCAGGTCTTCAATAAAGCAAAGCATTCCTCTGCAAGGTAAATGGTTACCCTTCACACAGTGCCTCTGGTTTGCTTTTCTTTTGGAGTCGGTCAGGATCCTCTAATACCAATTTGCTGGTGGAGATCCCCAGTCCTCCAAACAGCTGCAGAGCACTCTGTATATTGAATTCTGAATGATTCTTCTTCTTCAACACCCGTCGTGGCCCACTTACCTCTTCAGACATTTAAGTCCTGATATTATTTTTAAGCATCCTCTTTGCTCCAGCCTAGTAAGCCTCGCTGGGCAACAGACGCCTCACTGAAAAGCTACTTATCTATTATTAGATGGTGCTGAGCCAAGAGAGCACCTTGCCCTTACGTAATTTGCTTCATCTGAGGGGCAGCGGCTCTGGGTGAGGGTAGCCAAGCAGCTTCTTATCTCAGCCTAATTTTTGCTGCACCTGAGTCCGGGTTCTTTTTACTCCATCCTGAACTTTCACCCCAACTTCTTTCCCACCTGGTGTCTTTTCACCTCGCTTGATTTGCTTTCATTCCTCCCTGATTTATCATCCCTCCATCCTAACTTCTTAGCATCCGAGCCTTATTTCTTTTCATCCTTTTTAAAATTTAACTCCAGCCCTCTCCGGTTTGGCTCAATGGATAGAGCGTCGGCCTGCGGACTGAAGGGTCCTGGGTTCAATCCCGGTCAAGGGCATGTACTCTGGTTGCGGGCACATCCCCAGTGGGGGGCATGCAGGAGGCAGCTGATCGATGTTTCTCTCTCATCGGTGTTTCTAGCTCTCTATCCCTCTCCCTTCCTCTCTGTAAAAACTCAATAAAATATTTTTAAAAACTTTATAAAAAATAAAGTTTAACTCCATCTTCCTTCGGTTTCTGGAATACAGTAGGAAGTTCCCACTGATTTTATCTTGATTTTTTTGCACACTCCCACAATCATCAACAGCATTACATCCACAAATAAACATGCATTTAGGTACTCATATGTGCCTACACACAGTATGCCAATCTTATAGTGTAACTCATGCTCACTCACATACACACATTATCTTGTCTATGATGCCTCCAGGGGTGAGGTTTAGGCTGGGGCTGTAAGGCCCAGGGGTCTTTGAACTTGTCTAAGCAAACTTGCTAAAAACGTTCAGATGCCCAGGGCCTATCCAAGATGTACAGGATCAAAGTCTCGGAAGGTACTCAAGAATCTGCACGTTCGTGTGTTCTTGCAGTGAGTGTACTGAAACCAGTCCACTCTGCTGCAGGTGATGAGCAAACAGGCACTGACAGCATGACTCCCTGCCCACTCTGGGGGAACAGAGGTCCAGGAAATGCTTTGGAAAAAAAAATGTTTGTTTGGAAAAGTTGTATACTATAACCACTGCCACTCCCTCCTTAAGGATTCACTCTGTCTATCAAAGGCTCTGACAAGTTCTGCAGTACAGAATCCTGCTTTCTAAGCCCTGGCGGGGTGGCTCAGTTGTTGGAGCATCAACCTGCACACCAAAAGGTGGCTGGTTCGATCCCCTGTCAGGGCATATGCCTAGGTTTCAAGCTCCATTCCTGGTCAGGGAGGCAACCGATGAGTGGAAGGCAACCAATGAATGATCGATTTTCTCTCTGTATCTCAAAATCAATAAAAATATATCCTCAGGACTAGACTGTGAGTGGAGGACTATCAGTGGACTTCTACACAAAGAAAACTTTCCCCCTGCCTAGTATTAGGAAGAGGGGAAGAATTGGAAGGAGGGGACATAAGAGACTTAAAAATTCCCTTTGTCATAATAGGAAAGAATAACATCTAAAACCACCATGAGAAAGAAACATACTTACATCACTGAGAAAGGAAAAGAACTGGAGGTGGTTTCCTTTGGGGTGGGGAATGCACTGGTAGTTTTTGTGTAAGACTTTGAAGTTTATCTTTTTTTTAAATATATATATATTTCATTGAATTTTTACAGAGAGGAAGAGAGAGGTATAGAGAGTTAGAAACATCAATGAGAGAGAATCATCAATCAGCTACCTCTTGCATACCCCCTACTGGGGATGTGCCCGCAACCAAAGTACACACCCTTGACCGGAATCGAACCCGGGACGTTTCAGTCCGCAGGCCGACGCTCTATCCACTGAGCCAAACTGGTTTCGGCAAGTTTATCATTTTTTATGTATTAAATGCATGTATTACTATAATAGAAGCTAAATTTTAAAATAAAAATAATAACCCCTGCTTTTTAAAAACTCAGTATTTCCCAAGCTTCTTTGACCCAAGAACCCTTTTGCAACTGATACCTAACGCACAGAACTCCCGGGAAAATATGGCTTACGTCCAAATCTGTCCATTCAAACCCGGGAAAGTGAAGCTCAGCCTTCTGCAGGCCCCCTTCCTCCAAGGCCTCTGCTCAGAGATCTCCCACTAGGCCCCCCACCCAGGTGCCACCCTGAACAGACACCTGACTACTGACTCGCGGACCTCTTTTTCTTATCTGAGCAAAGAAATTTTTTAAGAGGCAAAGGCCTTTTTTTCCCATTTGGGAGAATTAAAACTGAGCTCCCTGCTGGGGAAACAATATTTTCTCATTGGAAGTGTCCACTGGCGTGTGTGTCTGGACGGCTTGCGCACATCGGCGGGAATGGGGGTTCATCAGGTTCTGAGCGTGACACTCAACAATCCACGCCTCTCTCCCCTGCCCAGGTGCGGCCAGTGAGACCTGAGGGCCCAGGAGTCCCGCCCCACACTCAGGGCAGGTGTGCGGCTTCTAGACAACTCCCCGGGATTGGGTGGACCCTCTTTTCCTCTCCAGTGGTCGGCAAACTCATTAGTCAACAGATCCAAATATCAACAGTACAAAAATTTTTTAAACTTAAAACTTCTTCTAACGCCACTGCTTCAACACAGACTCGCCTGGGCCGTGGTATCTTGTGGAAGAGCCACCCACACTCAAGGGGCCCCGAGCGGCAGTTTGCCGACCACGGGATGGGCCCCCCTCTTCCAGAAGGGCGCTCGCAGGGGCGTGGGGGACCACATCTGCAGCCAGCCTCTGGGTGGGCGCTGTCCAGGCGGCCGGCCCCCGGCCAGGAGCAAGCACTCACCGAGGAGGCGGATCTGCGTGATGGCTCCGTGCAGGCCGAAGAGCATCCACAGCGGCTGCGAGGCGTCCACGCACAGCGGCATGCCCGCGGCGGCGCCGTTGTGGCTCAAGTGCAGCTCGCCGTCGGCGCTGACCACCAGGCCCAGGATGTCGCCGCTCTGCAGGGGCCCCGGCACGCGGCACACGGCCCAGAACTCCTTGCGGTCCACCAGCGCCTCGGTGCTGCAGGGCAGGTCGGCGGGCCGCAGCGTGCCGGGGTCGCACGTGGTGACGCCGAAGGAGAGCGCGCCGGGCCGCGCGCCGCCGCCGCCGCCGCCGCCGGAGCGCGTGACCTTGACGAAGACGGTCTCGGCCGCGCGCACCGGGCGGCTGGTGAAGACGAGCGCGCGCTCGTCGCGCCCGTGCTCCAGGCGCGCCACCGTCTGCTCGTCCAGGATGCGGACGTGCGCGCCGGCGCGCAGCGGGTGGAAGCGCAGGTCGCCGTCCAGCTGCGGGGGCAGCGCGCGGCTGTGCTGCGAGTTGAGCGAGTTCTGCGGGACCGGGCCGCCCGCGGCCTGCGCCGCCTCCTCGCCTTCCCCCGCCGGCACGTTGAGGTCGCACAGGCTCACCGACAGGCGCGCGTCGTCCGCCTCGCGCCGCAGCGACGGCCTCCGCAGGGCGGTGAAGGAGCGCGGCCGCAGGCAGTCCGGCAGCACCAGCTCGCTGTCTGTGGCCAGGGAGAGGGGGAGACCCGGTCAGTCCCCGTCACCTGCACCTTCCTCCCTCCAGCCAGTCTTTTAACTAGGATGTGGGATCAAAACACCGGATCTTTGCCGAAACCGGTTTGGCTCAATGGGTAGAGCGTTGGCCTGCGGACTGAAGGGTCCTGAGTTCGATCCCGGTCAAGGGCATGTATAATACCTTGGTTGAGGGCACATCCCCAGTGGGAGGTGTGCAAGAGGCAGCTGATCGATGTTTCTCTCTATCCCTCTCTCTTCCTCTGTGAAAAATCAATAAAATGTTTAAAAAAAAAAACAAAAAAAAAAACGGACTTTTAAGCACGTTGAGACTGGTAGGATGGGCATGGGCACAGAACTAGCTGCTCCGGTCCTCCCAACACCCATAGGTGAATCTCCCCTGCAGAGCGTCCCCCCCCCCCTCCCACTACCCACAGGAGCAAGGGGTCCCAGTCCCACACCAGACCACAGGCATAGGGTTCCAGAGCTGGGAACCCTTAACTTCAGGCCGTAAAAAACACAAGGGATTGTGGGTAAGTGGCATGGAGGCTGCCGGAGACTCAAGTGTTCCCCATAAAGGGCTGGCACCAGACGGCTTTGGATGATCCAGGGACACATAGGGAGGATCTGGTATCCCAGCAGGAACTCAAGGGGTGTCTTTCTCCCAGATGGGGTGCTCACACAGGGACATTGTTCCTCTGCTAGGACCTTCCCCCATTACAGGGCTGACTGGCAGCCAAATCAGCTCCATCAGCCTAGCTCACACAGTTGCTCAGCCCTGGTGATTCCCTGAGGTCCCACTCCACCCAAACTGTTGGCAGCGGCTTTCCCTGGCTCAGGCCTCAGACTTTGCTAAACTCTCTCAAACAAGCTGCAGCTGGTGTCAGCATGCCCAAAACCTATCAATAAAAGGCCCAAGACCCAGCACTAGCACCAGCCTGCCTTGCTTTATGCTGGGCCTCATCTGGGCACGTCCAAGTAGTAGCCATCTGCAGGCCTTGCTATAAGTCCTGCCAGGTGGTCCCCAGGCAGTGATTGACTTTGCACCTCCCAGGAAGCCCCAGAGCCAATGCACCCTGTGGACAGCTTTATACCAGTGGTCGGCAAACTGCGGCTCTGTTCACTAACGAGTTTGCCAACCACTGCTTTAGACTATAACATACTAGATTACAACTCTACACATCTACAAGTGACACTCAAGGGGCAGACTCAGTGAGCATCAAAGCCCCCCTGAAGCAAGTCCTGCTCCATAAGGATATCTCCTGCACAGCTGCTCTTCCATTGTAGTGGAAGTTGGTCCTCACAGCCAATTCCTCTTAGTGACGCCAATAGCAATCAAGGCCAACTATCTGTGTTTCCCCGAAAATAAGACATCCTCTGAAAATAAGACCTAGCGCATGGAAAAATAAGACATCCCCTGAAAATAAGATCTAACGCATCTTTTGGAGCAAAAATTAATATAAGACACTGTCTTATTTTCGGGGAAACAGGGTACAAGACTGTGCACACAGCCCACAAAGGGGCACACCTAGAGTATCCAGCTCAGGTGACAGGAGGCTGAACCACTGGGCCCTACAGGACACCTACTACTCAAGGTCACACTACCAATTCCAGTAGACATAGCAGCTCTATTGAATACACAGAAACAAACACAAGGAAGCAGCCAAAATGCAGAGACAAATTCAGAAACATGTCAAATGAAAGAAATGGAAATAGCAAACTACTGGAAACAGAGTTCAAAACCATGGTTATAAGGTTACACAAGGATCTGAATGAGTGCTTCAAGGGACTTAGACTTTCAAGGATCTTAGTGAGAAGTTCAAAGACATGAAAAAGGACCAGTCAGAAATTAAGCATACTCTAATTGAAATGAAGAATAGTTAGTTACCTACAAGGGAGCGCCCATACGACTGTCAGCTGACTTCTCAACAAACTGGATGCCAGAGGGAGTGGCAAGAAATATTCAAAGTGATGAATAGCAAGAACTTAAAAACCAAGATTATTCTATGCAGCAAAGTTATCATTTAGAATTGAAGGTCAGATAAAGAGCTTCACAGACAAGAAAAAGCTAAAGGTGTTCATCACCACCAAACCAGTATTACATGACATGTTGAAGGGTATTGAGGAGGAGGAGGAGGAAGAAGAGAAAGAAGAAGAAGAAATAGAATCAGAGGCATGGAAACATGGAACAGAGTGACGAATCTCAGAGAGAAGAGGGGGAGAAGTTAACCGAAGATCATATATCTATATATCTATATATCTATATATCTATATATCTATATATCTATATATCTATACAGATATGCATTACCTATGAACAGACAATAGGGTGGTGAAGGCCTGGGGCAGGATGGGAATCAGGTGGAGGGGGGCAATGGGGGAGGAAGGGGAACTCTGCAATACTCTCAACAATAAGATTTTTTTTAAAAACAACAATGGGCTTTTAAAGGCATAGAAAATGCTTAGTATATAAACTAACGAGCAAATCAGCAACCAAAGTTGTGCAGAACATCTAAACTATTTGCTTAAGCAAAAGATTAAGGCTGGAAGGAAGACACCAACATTGAAATGGAGGGTCCTTATGACTTTGACTAAGTTTAGGTTTGAATCCTAGCTCTAGAAATCCTCTCTCTCTCTAAGCCCCTCACAGACCTGGCCTCTCCTCCCAAACCCCAAGGCAGCAGAAGACAACAGCAGGAAACTAATAGTCACAAGATGTGGACTTCTGGCAGGTTAAAGATAAGATCTTGACCTAAGTGATGTTTCAGCTCCTGAGCCCCTGGCTACTTTTCTATGAAACCCTACCTGTGCACAAATTTCATGCACCAGGCCTCTACTTTATAATAAAAGTCAGTGTGCACGAGGCATTACCCCTGCATTTCATCCTTAAAGCTTCCATGGAGGTGTTCCTGCTATACAGACAAAGCTCAGAGATGTTATGCGACAATCACCAAGCAGCAGATCCAGGATTGAAGCAAGGTGTGTCGAACTTCCAATGACAGTCTTTGCTTCAGGCCCTCCTTTTTATTGAATCTGTTCGTGGGAGTCCCCAAATTTGGGCTAGTGCCACTGTAGGCCACATCGGGAGCCAATCCTTCCCTGGGAGCCTTTTCTCTGAGCCTCTCTATGGGAGAAACCGGGCCTTCTCTCTAGGAACTGGGTAAGGATGGCTGGGGCGCTCGGTGTGAGAGCAGAGCTTGGGGGACTGGACTGGTGTGGCTAGCAGAGGCCCCAATCCAGCTCTAGCTAACCTTAGAGACGGTCTCTAAAGCCTCCCTGTTTGTGTCCTCTCCTACTCAGCCCCAGCCCCTTCCAGGAACAGTGTTGTTGGGGCCCACACAAGGAGAGGGTGCTGGGCCCTCCCCCAACCCCCTGTCTCTCTGGAGAAGCCTCTTGGGGCCTGGCTGGTTGGGATTTCCCAGCATCGTGCTTGGCAAGGAGAAGGGAGCCGACCGGAAAATGCGATTCTTCCAGGGAATTGACTCTGTGACAGCGATGGTGCGGAGAGGCTGGGGGGCTGTGGAGAGCAGAGGCGAGGAGGGCCCAGGCAGGACGGAGAGAGAGGCACAGAGACAAAATGGGGGCCTGGGGAAGGCTTTGGACTTCAGGGAACAGATCTGGCTCCCCCATTCTCCGGGATTCCAGTCAGTGTCCTTGAGGACTCTGGAGGGGTGGAGAGAGAGGGGGGAAGGAACAGGGACAGCAGAGCGAGGAGAAAACAAGTGGTTTCGAGATGCCCAGCCAGGTCTACAGGAACAAGGCTGTCAAGGGGACTCACACACCTATGCACCCCCACACTTCTCTTCCCCCACACACACTCAGGGCAATCAGTCAGAGCCCATGGAGCTGGGAAGACCCTCAAGACAGATTTCTGAGTGGGACCGGAGATGCATTTTCCTAGTCTCTGCCCCTTCTATTCGAATATGGAGTCCTCTTCTACGTGAATACGCCCACTAGTGGGTATTCCCTACCTCCCAGGCAAACCTGCGCCATTGCTGAGCTACTCTTTGGCTCAGTGCAGAGAGCGTCAGCTTGTGAGGCCTGAAGGGTCCCAGGTTCTATTCTGGTCAAGTACCTTTCGATGTTGTTACAGGGGTCAGAGGGCGAGTAGAAGCCCCCGGCACCTGGGGACCTGATACGTTCAGTGATCAGTATTTGCTCAGGTTGAGTTTGCCAACCAAAGTCAGGCCCACCGGCACTCAGGCAATTAACTTTTCGAACTTAAATGTGGGACTTTATGGCAGTCACGATGGACAGCCAGGACATCATCACAGCATGACGTCGCTGACCGAAGACCCGGAGGGAGAAGCTACAAGTGGAGATTAGAGAAGAAAGAAGAGCAAGAAGGAGAAATCAGTGGGAGGAAGAGAGAGGAGACGAGACGGGAAAACAACTCCTTCGGCCTTGCTTAAAATATTGCAGGAGTGGAGAGATGCTGGGAAACAGCTACAGACTGAATCCCTGGGGCGAGTGCCCGGCTCAGCCATGTCGTCTCTCCCATCCCCTCCACCCCTTGGGGTCAGGAGCAGCTGCAGGCCGCCAGCAAGCTCCAAAATAACAATCCCGCTGGTGTGTCCAGATGCGCCAGGGCCCCGAAATAGACGAAACCTGAGATCCAGGCGCTGGTCAGAGCACCCTCCGAAGGAACAGCAAGGGTCAGTCAGCGAGGGTCACAGCCGGGTGAGCCGACCTCAAGTCGGAAGTCAGGGAAGGGTCCCCGCTCCCAGCGCCGGGGGAGAACATCCTGGGACCCACCTGGGCCCGGGCCTGAGCTCTGAGAGACAGCTCGGGAAAACCAGACAGGCAACCTATAACCCCAAGCAGTGGCATGGCCCCACATTTGGAAGCAACACGTTATGTAATCGGTGCCTGGGACACAGAGCTGCCCACTCCGGAGGCTTAGTGGTGGGGGGAGGGGCGGCACAGGCCATGGCAGAAGCTGCTAAGCTGCCCCTCTCCTGTCCCTTCTGCAGGAAGGCATTTGTTATTA